ACGTGAAATGGTCTTTGGTCATGATTTCAGTTTGCGTTTTCCTGATAACTAATGATGTGGAACAGCTGTTCATGTGTGTACTGGCTAGTTGCTTGTCTTCTCTTGAAATGTTGATGTTCGAATCTTTGCATTTTTAATTGGTGTGTTCTGTGCTTATTATTCATTTATAGGAACTCCTTAGATAAACTGCATGTAGTCAGATGCATGCACTGCAAATGTTTTCTTCTAACCCAGAGCTTTCCTAATCATTTTCTGAGTGGTGGTCTTTGAAGAGCAACCATTTAATGAATTCCAACTTATCACTGGATTGTAGGGCACTTCTACTTTTAGTTTTGAAAGAAATCTTCACACCCTCCGCTCTCCACCAACGGCAAGGGGCTCCTTTCTGTCCACACCCTCACCAGCCCTTGTTATGCCCACTATGTTCGATGCGGGCCATCCTCACAGGCCTGAGCTGATATCGCACCATTGCCTCAGTCTGTATTTCCTTACTCACACATAAAGTTGAACATTTTTTCATGTGCCTGTTGTCTACCTGTGCATCTTGCTTGGTGAGATGCCTGTGCAGGTCTTCTGCCCATTTTTGGGTTGGGTTCTTTGTTCTTATGTAGTTGACCTGGACAAGTTCTTTTTCACTGGGATATTGACCCTTTGTTGGCTGTGTGGTGTGCGAGTATCTTCTCCCAATTCAGTAGGTTGCCTTTGAGTTTTTGTGGTGGTTTCTCTTGCTGTCCAAGGGCTTTGTAGTTTGATGAAGTTCCATTGTTTCACTTTGCTTTTGTTTCCCTTGCAGTTGGAGGCAAGTCCCACAGACATCTCTGCAGCCTGTGTCCAAGGACGTATCACCTGTGTTTTCTTTGATATATTTTATGGTTTCAGTTTCAGATTTATGGTATTAAATAAAGATCTAGTTTCCTTCTTTTTTTTTGCATGTGGTTCTCCAAGTTGCTCAACATCATATATTGAGAGTCTTTCATTTTTCCATTGTATAGTTTGTCAAATGACCATATGGGTTTACTTCTGGACTCTTAGTTCTGTTTCACTGATCTTTGTGTCTGTTTTGTTCCAGTACCATACTGTTTTGATTATTCTTGCTGTGTAATATAGTTTGAAGTCCAGGTGTGTGATATCTCTGTTTTTCTTCTTCACCCCTCCCCCCCAGGATCTTTTGGAAAACATTCTTATTTTCTAGTTGTCTTATTTTAAGACAACAGTTATCTACGTTAGCATTGCTTTATTTTTATATCATAAATTTCAACATAATGTCTTTTACTGAACATATGGCTCATAGAAAATAAATGGTATCTTCTAATTTCCTTTGTAACTTCTACTTTGTGTTGTTTTATTTCTAAATGCTTGAGACTTTTCTAGATAAGTTATATTTCATTGATTTCTAATTTAATACCATCGTTGTTAGAGGGAAAACAGCTCTCTTTGTTTTGATTCTTTTTAAAGCTTGATTGAACTATAAACCTTGCATTATAAACCAGCACCATACAGTCTCTTTGGTTGAAAAGAATGTGTATTACGCCGTTTTCGGGTCTGTTATATTTTAAATATCAAGTACATTGTTTGGCTGATAGAGTTGTTCAAACTTTATGTGTTCTTAATGAATTTTGTCTAGTTTTCTCCTCAGTCATTTAGAATGGGTGGTCCAGACCTCTACTGTAGCTGCTGGTCTGCACTCCCCTTTTGGTTCTGCCTCAGACCTTTTGACCCTGTTGCTAGCCCCAGTACATCTGCCTAGACTTGTTTTGCCTTACTAGCACCCTTTCATCATTATGAAGTGATTTTTAATTTCTTACACTATTCCTTGCCTCGAGGTGGTTCTGTCTGATGTTACTATACCAGTTCTCTAATGCGTATTGTTTGCCCGGCTGGCGTTTTCCCACCCTGTTTAGCTGAACTTGAGCTTATGTTTAAAGAGTGTCTCTTATAAATGACATATAATTCATCCTGCTTGTCAGCTCATGCTTGGCTCTTGGATGAGGTGTTTAGACTATTTCCATTTCATGTATTTACTTATACAATAGCATTAAAGCTGGTTATCTTGGGTTTTATTTTCGATTTGTATCCTCTGTTCTGTATTCCTTCGTTTCTCTTCTCCATCTCCTTTTGGGTTAATCAAATATATATATGTGGTGTTTTGTTTGTGCTTTTTTGGCAGCGTTCTTTTGATATAGAAAATTTCAAACTTACTGCTTTGGACTCAGGAGAAACGACCTTAAGTGTAGACACAGAGACACTGTTGGTCTGGACTGGGGAGGATGCTTCACTAGTTTCATTAATATGATCATCATGGTGTTGATAGATGTCTCCGGCACAGGGCACGCCCGGGTATCATCTACGCTTCCTCTGGGATTTGCTGTCAAGCCGCAGCATATGAGCCACGCTGGCAGAGGATTACATGCAGACAGGCCACGCCGGGGCAGTCTGCAGTGAACGCGCGGCCTCTGGAGTGTGCGTTTTAGCCCGTGGTCAGGCTGCGTCTCCCTCTGGGGACTCCAGACTCTGCTCACTGTCACCTCTCTCCATCACAGCTGCTGCTCTCAGTTTGGTAAGTGGCAAGGAACGTTCTGAAACCCTGGAGAAAAGCTGCTTGTGGGAGTCACAGACGTTCAGATCAACTTCAGACACGTCTCTGACGTGGAGGGGCTTGACCCAAACAGGACTTTGCCCCTGTCCTCGCCCCTTCCCTCTCCCACACCACGGTGCCTATCTTAGGAAGAAGGAACCATGCTGTAGCGCCGCTGAATTATCATTCATTCCGTTCCTCTCCATTTTTGCTTTGTTTATGACTTAGATTAATCCTGAATCTCTTGTACCTGGACTCCTATGAAAATTCCAATAAAACAAAAATGATTAAAATTGGATTGCCCGTAGAAAGCGAGATGCCGCTCTTCCCCGGAGCTGTGTTCAGCATCTAAATAAGGGGAGGGGAGGCGAAGCCTGCAGATGAGCCTTTTAAACAAGGCACAGCGGGAATACCTCCGTTTGGATCCATAAATACCAAACAAGAGTCGTACGTGGGCCTTCTCTCTACAGTCAAACAAAACCCGATATGGGATTATGGCTTTGATCAGAACTTAATTTTTCATTTCCATTTGAACTTTAATTTTACTAAAATTTTCTTCTGACAAATCTCCAAAGGAATATTTAAGTGACACGGCATAATGCTGGCAGATTATTCATATATCAGCCCTGAGGCTACCAAAGAAGGCTTCATCATCTCAGAGTGAGTTTTATTGGAATCCGTAGCTCACAAAATATTGCTTCCTGACAGCCCCTGTGCAGTAGAATTTAAAGGCTTAAGTTTCGGGAGAATTTACACATTGGTAGCGTCCTCGGCTGTACTTTTAGGAACATTAAATCAGCTCCCCAGTGATCCCCTGGTGGCGAGCGCGTGGTGGGCAATTCCTGGGCCTTGATCTCTGGACAGGCGTTGGGGCTCGTCCAGCCCTCATCCCCCTCAGTCCGGTGGAAGTTAACGCCTGAGCAGGGCAATGTCAATCCCCAGGGGAGGCTGCTCTGTCCTCGAGGGAACTCGGATGTGGAGTCCTGCCCAGGGCTGCTTGGAGACTCATCGCTGCCTCTCTCCCTCCGCCTGCCCCTCCCTCCCCCACCTCCCCCATCCTTCTTCCCTCACTTCCTCCCTTCCCTAACAAATATTTATTAAACACCTTCCATCGCCAGATGCTCTTCTAAGTGTCAGGGATGTGGCAGTGACCAGACCAGACATTGTTGCTCCCGTCGTGGGGCTCGTGGCTGGCAGGGAGGACGGGGCGAGACCCATACCAGCCTCTGCCACTCCGGTGAACAGAGCCGTGAAGAGACCCGCACGTCCGGCGGGAGTTCGGGAGAGACCTGGCAGAAGGCGCCGGTGCCCAGCAGCCTTTCTCAAGCAGAGCTTCTCGGGGGGGCCCTGCGCGGCCTGGGCAGCCGGGGCCGGTTTCTGGCGTGTGTGTGCCCGTCGCCTGCTTCCCGACGGGCTGCCTTGTGCTCCCAGTTTGGAGGTTTCGCTCCTCGCAGGAAGGTTTCAGCCCTGCCGTGTGCGGGGTGTTCCCAGGTGGCTGGGCCGGGGACACCTGTCCGGTGTGGAGTGTGACCCCGCAGAGCGCTGGCGCGGTGGGGCCGGGAGCCTGCCGGGTTGAGCTGCCGCGTCTACAGTGAGCGGACTCAGGCTTCCTCCCCCGGCCCGCACACGAGCCCTTGCTGCGATCGCCAGATTCCTGATGGGAATTCTCACCACGGAGTCTCTGAAACACCTGCTTCCGGTCTGCCCTGGGGCGGGACACTCACTTCAGTGATACTCACTGCTAGGGGTGCTGCTGGTAAGCGCGGGGGTGCTGTCTCCCCCCTGGCTCGCATCTTTTTGTCTTTAAAGACCATGTCTTTGCCTCTCTTTTTGTTTTTAAAGACCATGCTTTGTCCCAGTATCAGCAAAACACAATGGTTTTCTGGAGCCTGGTGTTTGGACTTAAGTTTTTATTGACTGGCTTTTTTTTTTTTTTTAAATAACATTTTTTTAAAAAAGATTTATTTATTTATTCATACAGAACTGGAGTACAGGTCAGAGATGCGGAGGGCGAGAGGCTTCCCCAGAGACAGAGTGGGGAGCAGAACATGCAGATGGACGAAGTACACTCCTGAGGGGAGCAGCGGGCGGGTCAGGAGAGGTCTGCCGCGCCCTGTGGTCACCTCCGGGGCAGGCGGGGATCGAACTCATGCAGAAGTGGTTTAAGCTTCTTAGTGCTGTGCCTTAACTCGCTGTGCCACCATGGAGGGCCCGACTGGCTTTTTTTTTTTTTAAAGATGTATTTTATTGATTTATGCATACCAGAACGGGGGTACAGGCCAGAGGTGCAAGCCAGGGAATGAGAGGACTCATCAGAGACGGAGTGGGGAGCAGAGAAGGCAGATCTGCTGAAATCCAGTGCTGACGGGAGCAGCGGGAGACAGGAGAGGTCTGCAGGCCACGTGGGTCACTCCCTGGCCGGGGATCGAACTCGTGCTGCAGCGGCTGCCATAGCTTGAGACTTAACCCCTTGCGCCACCGGGGAGGGCCGTGACTGTTTCTTAGTACTTCTTGTCATGGCAAGAAAGTTCTTGTGAAGATAAATGCTGTTGAAAAAGAAATGGAAGCCCACTTTCGTGGACCCTGCTGGTCGTCATCTGTGTGTGCAGGGAAGGCAGCCCCCCCCCCCGAGCCCCCTGCCCGCCTGGCAGCCCCTGGGAAGTGGTGTCTGCGCTGGAGCTGGTGTGCCAGGCAGCGTGGCGTGGTCTGCCTCCCTCGCTAGACCTTTCCTCTTGACTTCCTGCTCCAGTCTGTACCCCACTTACCTCTGTAGTCTAGACTTTTCCGGGAAATTCTACATGGGCGAGAGGAAGCTGAGGCTACGGACGTGTAGGCGGTGCTGGGCGGAGGCCCAGCGCTGGGCACCGGGGCTGAAGAGTGCGCCGTATTGCCGAGTCACACCGTGCTGGGACGGCGTCACCTTCTAAAAACACAAACGGCGGCATCTCGCAGCACCGGCTTTGCTGTCGGGAATGCGCTGTTGCTCCTCAGCTGGAAGCGTGTCTGTCGGGCCTCAACGCCTGTCATCCTCGGCTCCGCCCGGGCGAAAGATACGGCAGGCTGCTGGCCATCGCCAGTGCCGCGGTCAGGGCCGAGAGGCGGCCACGGGGTGAGGCGTGCCCTGTAGGTGCCGGCAGAGAGCAGCAGGCGCACAGGCCCGCGGCGCGCTTTCCAGCTGTGCTCCCAACGGGCCGGGCCCCGCGTCCGGCACGAGCCTCAGCGAGCCGCAGCGGGGGCTGCAGTGTGCGTGACTGACTGACCCCCGCCTGGGCGGGGGAGTAGTGGCGGCGCTGACCAGGGCGCGGGCCAGCAGGCTGCTGCCCGCTCATCCGGGTCGGAGCCGGGGCCGAGGCCAGCGGAGGTGGTGCTCGCCGATGAGATCCTGAACACGTTCCAAGCAGATTGTGGGTGTGGGGCCCTCGGGCAGCGGCCGAGCAGGCAGGGCTGGAGGTGGCACCTCCCAGAGAAGGAAGCCTCGGACCGGGGGTCAGCGCTTGAGGCCAGAGGGAGGCAGGAGGCGGGAGGGAGGAGGTCCCCCCGACACACGCGGGTTGAGCGATGGGTGCCCAGCTCCGGGGCCCGTGGCTGTGCGGCCGGGGCCTCTCTGTGTCTGATTCTTCCCACCGCGTCGCGGGGAAACCTACGTGAGAAGTCCGGTGTCCCGGCCAGCGGCCCGCGCCCGGGGCCACTCGCGGTGCTGTCGCGCCTGTTGCTGTGTGTCCAGTCCCGTCACGGCTGTGGGTGAGGGCAGGGCGGACTCGCCAGCCACGAGTAAGGGGCTCTTGGGCCTCTGCCCGTTGGCTGGCCCTCGTGCTCCAGGTCCGCCGCTCCAGGGGGCATTGTGGACTGGGAGACGTGTGCCCGAGAGGGACTCAGCAGCGCTGGGCACGTGCCCGAGACGCGGCCTCTCTGCCCTGCCCCACGTGGGCCTCCCTGTCCTGCCTCCCGGCCCCCTCTCCGCGAGACTCAAGGCGAAGCGTCCCATCTCGGCCGACCGGGAGCAGGCGCTCCTCGCCTGCGTCCTCTCTGCCTTCACCAGGGTCTGCGGGAATAAGTCGGCACGCAGCGGGAAGAATCACTGCTGAAGCAGCGGCCGCGGGGGCGGGGCGGGCGGCTTGCGTCGCCTCCCCCACGGCGGCATCTCCGGGGAGATGCAGCCTCACTTGGCTGGCTGGGGCGCAAACGCGAAGTTAGTATTTCCCCGCGCGTCAGCGTGTCCTGAAAGCCGCTCTCCCGGCCGCGCAGACTGGGGCTGGCTCCGGCTTATCCGACTCCGTGGGGGTGTCTCCGGCCCGGCCTTGTCACCACTCTCCCGCCTTTCCTCCCTGTCGGGGTGCAGGGCGGCGTCAGGCGAGCCCATCTCTGCACAGAACAGAAGGCTTTTCTGGGCACTGAGGTTCCCGTCAAGTCGTCTCACCTCCCCCTGCCCACGGAGGCTCCTGCCCCCCTCCTCCCGCCGTCCTCTGCACCCTTTAAATAAGCACAAGGGTAACCCGGCCCGGTGGCCAGACAGACGCAAACAGCTGAGGGGCAGAGAGAAGAGGATGATGCTCCCGTACCCCTCCCCCCACCCGTTGGAGGTACCCCTAGCCCCTTTGCCATCCAGACTTTGGGGCTCGGGCGCACAGGGCCCACGGGCCTGCACGTGCACACCTGCCGAGTATTAAGTACGTGCCGTTTAAAATGATCACCCCTGCGGTTAGAAAAGTAAAGCAGAACTAAAAGACTTAGCATGAAAAAAAACCCCTTTCTACCTTTGCTCACTCTCCAGAGGCGATGGCTTTGAGTCCTTTTAGCTCCAAGCCCCCGGTGGTGGTTTCCGTTGTGGCCCAGAAAATACGCCTGTGCCCGGCGCTTGACTGATGAGTTCCAGCCATCACTGATCCAGACTTCTGGCTGTGGCAGGTGCCGCCCTGCTTCCCGCCACACCCCTCCTCCCCGGCCTCAGCTTCCCTCCACACCCCTCCTCCCCGGCCTCA